GCCACAAGAATGGGTATTTTTCAAGATTTGAGGGGAATAAATATCTAACATTTAAATTTTATGTTTGTAGAATTGAAACCCGTCATGTCCACCGGTGACTTTTTGTTTTCAAGTGGAGTAGTAATCAAAGGTAAATGTTAGTGACTAGTCATTTAATTTACTTTCAAATTTTAACATCTTTTATTGCCACGTAAGATTGTCATTCGCCATGTGGATTTTTTTGTCCACGTGGACGAATGGAAATGAGACGGATGATGGATGGGTACCGTTATGTAAAAGTGATTGAGCTAGTTGTAATCGTAGATAAAATTTATTGATTTATCATTTAATTAACTCAATAGAGCACCTTAATTTGAGATTGGTTGGACTGTGTTCTATTTTAGCTTTAGCTTTTGTTTCAAAGACCTCAATGGATCACATCCATCATATTTCCTGTCTCAAAATTATGTAATTTATTGGGTTGGCTAAAGTTTTATCAATTTTATTGTATTTATAGATTTTCTTATCAATTTTATTGTATTTATAGATTTTCTTCTTCCTTCACTCAAAAATATACTTATTCCATCTTGTGTTGGACGTGTTGATTCAAATGCTCGGGGTTTTGTTATTCCGTTCAATCAATGCCATTCTTCAATTTTTTCTCTAATGAACCATGTTAATTTCACTAATAGGGTGACCATATTGGAATCATTCGTTAATTTCAATTACTGGTTTGAACAAAAATGAATTTTAAGGACGAACTTGAAATTTGGCTTCATTCATTGAATATTCAATTTGCAGAGGCTAGACGTTAACATAATATTTTAAACTTTACTTAGTGGGGAAAAGAAACGTATCTTCATGTGATAACTTGTAGATACATTTAGTATGTTGAACTCAATAAGATTAAGCATTATAATAGACAATATCTTGTATAGTGACGGCAAAAAAACTTGTCCTGTCCCAATGGGCCCCATCCCCGAATGGGTTGGCAGGCGGGGCAGGGCAGGGCGTCACGTCCTTAGAGGTCTGAAAGAGCCACAATGCATACTTTGGGGAAGGGATTGAACAATAAGGCACTTCTAATGCTTAAAATACAACAATCCCAATTGACCTTTTTTGTTAGCTATGTACAAATGGATCATTCCAAGTAAAAAGGGTAAAAAGGGTTGAACACATTTATTGTTGATATTCCACCCTGATTTATTTGTAATTCAATCATATGCCTGGTTTATATATATGTCAAAAGAATATCCTATAAAAATCTAAATGGCCCCTGATATAGGATGGCCTTCAACATTGGTCAAAGGCCATTGGCAAATCTGTAGAACTGACTATTGCTGAGACTCAGATAATGATGGTGAAGAATGCAGGGATAATGGCTGACTACTCCTGCTGGTTCCAACTTCCACTACAGTTCCCTCTCGTGCCGGAACATGCAGAAATGACTTCATAACATCATATACAGTGAATCCAATGGCTACCGAGGGTACGACCTGAAGTTCACATTTGTAGTCTTTAGATGAAAGCCAACAATTAAATGCCCCGGTGGTCACTAAACTTTTAGCGAAATCCGTACCTTCAAGTAGTTGATGCTAAGACCAGAAAATAATTGCTTCCATCCTTCTCTACGGACAATCATAACAAGAGTTTCCATTGTGCTTTTCATGTCACCACCGTTAGTAGATCTCAAGATGCGCTGCACCTGAAAGAG